ACACCTAATTCACATTGTGTAAAATGGGTGGAGCCACATTCCACAATATATTCCATAGCCAATTCGTTCCTGGGAGAGTTCCAAGGATAATCAGAGCTGTGTGTGCTTACGTCAGGATCATCACAACACCAACTGACTGAGCTGACGAAGCAGGCTCTGGACTGTGTCATGCACAAACACGCACACTTGCTAATGTGCGCGTTTCTCTTCCCTCCACTGAGATCTCCTTTTGTTAGTATTAAGCCATAGATGGCTTTGTTGTTGATGATGATGAAGACGAGAATGACAGGTATGATGGTGATGGATTAAGATGACAATAGTCATGAAAAATGCATCATTATAATGATGAAAACTATAATGGTTCGAATGTTGATAATACGTGAAGATGATTTTGATGATGAAAATGATGGTAATGATACATAAAGATAACGAATGATGATGATAACGATAGCGATGACGCTACTGCTGCAACGATTTATCCAGCAATCCCTAATTCACCAACCCCACGGCAACCCCAATACGCATGGGGATGAACCAGCCCTTACTTCTAAAGTACACCCACTTAAGGCTGATTCATCCCAGAGGAGACCGAACAGGTGCCACTGATGTGTGCTGTGGCCGGTAATCAAACGTAAGCCACCACAGTGCACGAACTGTACCGCTGAGGAACCCCACGTGCACACTGGAAGATCACTGGCAATGGATTGAAAAAGGGATGTAAAATCATGATTTGTATTGTTAAAGATTAAAGCAAATGAACAAAGAAAGTAATAAAGGCTGCTAAGACAGCCCATCTGAATTGTAGCAATGCCTAAATTGCTTGTTTAAGGACAGACAACAAAATGCTGCTTACTCTTTGGGCAATAAAAAACAATAAATCACAGCCCTTTTCCATCCACTGCTGTGTGAAGGCCTCCTCACGCTGTGTCGGTCATAGGGCTAATTTGACTATACTCCACCATGCTGATCAGTGCAGGTTGGGGAAGGGGTATCCAGGAGCAGTTCAGACATTATTCGACAATGACTGACGTTAGCCATGGCCAGGAATTGAGGTCATGTCACTGGGTCCATAACGCAGTGCTGCCTCCCTTCTCACCTGCCACTGCCACCACCGCCTCCCAGCGACTTCTACAAATAGCCAATAAGGCTACACAGGGAATCGTATGTTTGTGTTTATGCATGTGTAGTGATGTAAAATAAATCACTACGGCACGTAGAGCCAAGTGCCGTAGAAATGGGCGCAGAGGATAACACACCGTGCAGTACCATTCAGCGGGCCACTAGGGGCATGGTACTGGGTGCTTGCAGAAGGAAGCCAGATGATTCTTACCGACAGAGTAGGGAATAACAGCCTCCGCCAGTGCCGCAGACAATCGCCACAGAATCGGTCACTGGTGGAGTATGGTGGAGGCGTCTGGCGGTAGGGGAGGGCATGTGAGTCACACTGGCACCGGGTTAAGCACGTGATGGTCCGGGGTGAGGAATGTGAGCTAAGGGTGAACGCGGGGACACGGGAAGGGTCGCTGAAAAACGTTAAGGGCGGAGCCAGAGAGGGAACAGGTGAGGTGTAGCCTGGAACTGTCGCGGCCGAGGGTGGAGCTCCAATCACATATCGGAGCTGTCTGCAGGTGAAGAGGAACTCAAGTGCTACATCTACGTCTTCGTCTCTGTCTTCGACATTGTGGGTCAGACAGCACGTTGGCTGCTCTGACCCGGTTATAGTTATCCCGTATGCGAGAGGAATAGGTGTATTATGGTCCCGTGTGTAGCAAGAGGAAGAGATGGGTGCATTTAGTCCCGTGAGTAACGATGTTGCGTAAATGTAAAATAAACGTTGTTGCCTCCTAAATAGTGTCTCTGAACGACTCACTACACATGTGTGAATGAGCAGTCGTGTCACGGTTTAGTGCTCTGCACTACGAACCCAGCGACCAGAATTCAATCACTGCTCATGGCTAACACCAGTGACGAATATCTGAACCGGTTCTGTGCCTCCCCTAGGTCGACTCAGCCTCAGACTAGTCCCTGTGGCGGTGTGTAGTGCTGACCATCCACCCCTCGTGTACCGTGCTGGCCTTCATAAATGCTCACTAACAGCACGTGCCTGAACAGTGTGTTAAGGCTATACGGGGATCTTTGTCTCTATATACATGTGGATATATTTACGTGTGCATGCATGCGCGTCTTTGTATGTAAATGTGTTCATGAGTATGTGCGTGTTTCTTGTTTCTGATGGACAAGAACAAAAATTGGAGGAAGTAAACTGGCGCTGTGAGTAAGCTGGCTGATGTGCGATCTGCCAAAAAGTGTGGCAAACGACCCAAAGGCTGAGATCAGGCAAAGCGCCCAGCAGAGATGATCTAACAAGGGAACTGCTGAGTGTGGGTGGAGATTGTGTGCAGGACATTTTACACACCACCATTACTTATGCCTGGATCACAGGATGGGTTCTTCAGGATTTGAAGGATGCGTTGTTAGTGCCCCTTTAATCAATGTGGTCCCTCTTTTGAAGAAGGAAGACCACATTCATTGTGTAATGACAGTCGAGTCAGCCTGCAGTGCGAATGGACTAGTGGCCACGGGAGGTAATGACAGGAGAGTCAGCCTACAGTATGAAGGGACTGGTTGCTACGGGAATTATCGAGAATAGGAGCGTGGCCAGGTGACGGAAGAGGACAACGGAGTCTGCTGGTAGATCGAGAGGTCTAGAACCAGTGAGAAGGTTCGGGAATGGGGGCGTGGCCTCGGACCGTATATACGGGAGATGCACGGGAGACCTTGGCCTGTTGCAGTGTGGTCTCCACCTGTCCGAGTGTGAGCACGTGGCTCCTTAATAAAGAAACCATCTCAAGACAAGTGCGTTGAAGTCGTCATTACAATCTGCAGGCGAACATCCTGGCAAAAAAATGCAACATCGTCTTCTAAGGACACTGCCCCATGGACCATGCACAGCATATCTGATAACTGGACAGGATGCACGGCAGAGGCTAGTGGTTTCAGAACTTGTCTCTCTTAGGTTGCCACAGCCTTCATCGCATGATGGGTGTGGAGCACATAAGGTCTACAATCTGTAATTTTGGATGCCTGGGTTGATGGCTAACGTGGAGATGTAGGAGACTGCAAACCCTTTGGCCTGCATGATGGCCAGTAGACGACAGTGCAAAAATGGATAGTTGAATCTTTAAAAAATATTAGGATTCAGTGTGGCTTTCTTGGGAATACTACCTCTACTGTCATCTTCATCTTCACCATTGTTATCATTAGCAACAGAAGCAATATCAGCAACAGCAACAAATGTCATGACAAGATTATTATCATCTGCAGAACCATCTATTTATCATAATTTACACCACTATCATCGATATAACTGCTTGGCCCAAGCTATAAGTGTTATGATACTTGCATTGTCTTTATACTGTTTGCCTTTTGGCTTTTTCTGTTCTAACACTGGTGAGACAAGGCCATAAATAAGACTGTCTCTGGTGCAGGCCAATCAGTTTCACAGACAATGCATATATATTATCATCGCATGTTTGTTTAAAAGTTTTTTCCCAGAAGTATGTGTGGTTAATACAGACTTGATGCCTTGCGAAAGGTATTTATTTTGGTGTTTGAACATCTTTACACTTGTTTTATTTCTATAAAGGATACAACCTATTCTTATTTTTACTATAGTCGTCATTATCATTATTATTGCCTCAATCATCATCTGCGACATGATTTTATCATTATCCTATTTGTCTTCATCATCACTGTCATCTTCATGTGCATATGATCATCAACAACCTGCTCTATAGTTTCTGTATGAATGCAAAAAGAAACTTGCGGAATGGAGGCCCCAAACGTGCACATTGTGGATTTGTGCGGAATGGGCCACCATGCCCTTTCAGCGCTCCCTGCACAAACCAGGCCTCCAAATCGCGATTAACTGCAATTTGGCATGGGCAAACACATTTTCTGCAATTAATTAAGCTAGTGTAATTACTGTCAAAACGTCGTACTCAGATTGTAAATGTTGTGGCTTTGCTCTCCAACACACCAGTGTGCTGTATTAGTAATAAATTGGCATGTTCTGTTTACGTGAGAAACCTTACTAATTGGCTGTGTCGGGTGGTGGCGGGTTTAACGACACATATATTTACACGGTCTAACCCAAAAAAAAACCTGTATTATGGATTTCCACAATTGTTGGCTTTGCTGATAAACCTAGGTAGATGTTTGGCCATTGTGCAATTGTTTCATGAGTAGAAGTGGAATGGTTGGTTCCATTATTATGTAGAATCGGATGGAACAGGAATTGCCAAATGCAAATGTTTCCAATGGTATGCTGAATTGGCATTTATTCCACCAATAACTGGTAGAATGACAGCCAGAATAACGTAGCTACATGAATCAAGCCCTTTGTGTCACAGGCACAATAACACACAGAAAAGGACACAAATCTATGCTAACAAGAACAAATATTCACTCATCATTTTTGATTGTATACTTTCAATATGTAATTTCACATGTCATACCATAGCAGATTCCCATTTGTGTTTAAATGTAAGCATTTTCTCATGGTCTGTGGTAGAGCATGGCATTTTGCACACACAGACACATATAATTACAATGCACAGACACATATGTCTGTGCAATGTAATTGTCTGCAGAGCACACTTATGCCACAGGATGACTTGCAAAGACTTTTGTTTAGACATCGTATGTATAGTAATAATAAAACATAAGTACATGCATAACATGAAAAAACACTGCAAGGGCAATGATTAACACAGCACAAAACCCTTAATTGAGTGTTCATAGAAGCAGACATTTTGTGTGGAAACAGCTCAGCCAAATGCAGACTAGGCTAGCCCATTCCAGCTACTGCATCCCCGGTGAATTTGTAAACACAATGAGTTGTGTGTGTCGATGCGTGAGACTGCCGATTACTCAAATACATGCAAGTTTCGCCGCATCTTTTCCAATTACAGCCCACATCGGAGAGCACTCGTATTTACCGTGGCTCGGCTGAGGGCCAGGCGGACTTTATCCACGTCAGAGATGGGGCACCAGATCTCAGCGATGAGGCACTTCTGGGTGACGTCCATGTTGCACAGGTTGAGTGTGTGGTAAATGGCCTTCATCTTGTGCACTCGCACGAGCCACGAGGGCAGGCTGCCCGCGGTTGCCTCCAGCACGCGCCGCTTGTGACCCTCCGTCTCGCCAATGACCTGAGCAGCACACGCAGCAGACCAGGGAGCTTGGGTTACCAGGTGTTCCGGTTTTCTCAGGGTTAGCCTCTTTCTGAGATGGTTGTCCTTGAACATCTGTAAGTCTTCCCACGTACGTTAAAAGTCCTGGCTTTTATCATTTTCGCAATTGTAATAATAAATAACAGTAATACACCAATAAAGACGATGTATTTACATGTATATCTCCTCTTTTCCGACATGGCGATAATTTCTTCTTCGCATGATATGTCCCGGTTTGTGTACCTCAGAGTTGACAACACTACAGAGGGCTTTGCTAAAATGTGCACTGGGACGAGACAAGCCGAGTGAATATGTTTGCGAGTATCCAAAAGATTTTTAATAAAAGCAAAGAACAGACTGTGCTGAGAGTGGTGTACAATCACAGGTTGAAAACAATATCTCACCACAGTTCATGTTACCACTGACTTATAACTACAAAGTATCGATCGTGATAATGTTTTGTTAGGTCCCCCCTTTTGCACGGACAGTTATAATAACACTATAAGGTATGCTAACGATTATAAGAGTTCACAGCAATATTTAATGACAGTTTACCATGGTATTTGACATATCCATGATATATCAAGTACTTTAATTCATGTAACTAATTGTAGAAATGTATATATGCGTTATAAAAGAATGCAATGCTTAATTTGAAATGTGCCATTTTAAAACACTCTACAGTGCTTTCCACAGTATTGCTCGGTGCAACATATGATTATATAACGAATGTTATAGTTCTTTAAATGGTTACATTGTGTTTTCAAGAAATAGTTAGAAGTTTTTTTATAGTTCACAATTGCATAAATTAATACATTTTAAACTTATAAAGACCTGCTTAGTTTTGGATAATGGGACGAAACTAATTGATGTCATATGCTGAAATCATTTGTCATTTGCATTACAATTACAAAATAAGCCTGCGTTCCATACAAATGCGGTATTATTCAAAAAGCAAAACCACATGGGATGCTGCAAGGAAATATCTGACGTGTGATGTCAATTATTAAAGAAACAGTAAGAAGGGCTGAATGATAATGACATAATAAATGTCAAGACATTTTTTGTGACAATCTTGAATAATCTGCAATTACTATAAAATCGGGGAAAATAAATGTAATTTGCAAAAAATATCAAAAAAACCAAAACATCTGTGGTTTTAGCTTTTTTTTATTTTTCTGAAATTATTTTTTAAAAGTTTAAAACAACTATGCTCATAGTGGTTAACATTATAACTTAAGGTAAATGAGACATGTCAAAAATTGCTCTGATAAAGGCAAGACGATGGGTTGATGGCCAGATAGCAGTAATTAAGCCGTCAAGCCCTCTTTTGGATGCCACTTTAAAATAGATTTTGGAATTTGGTACTACAATTGGTTGTCTCAATAATTAAGCTTCTATTTTATCGTGAGAAAAGCTTGTTATAAGCATTCAGATATAAAATAAGCATTAACCATCCACTTTTGATTTGAAGCTTTCGTGACTGCAGGAATCCATACTCTTTGGTTCTTTCGGTAAGTCACGTAGTTAAAAATAAAATAAAACAAATCACGACGTTTCGGGCGCAACACAAGCATCCGTCATCAGGTGGGACAACCACAGCACAATTGTTTCTTGCTGTACACAAAGTGGAGTGCCATCCACTTTGTGTATGGTTTATGAGAATGTGAAAGATTAGATTAGTAAGCCAAATGCAAACATTTTATCCAAAAAATGGTTCGTGATATGCTTGAGAGTAGTCTGACATGGGAGAACATCTATCCATTGAATAACAAAGGGAAACAAATTCTATACATCACAACCACAATGTAAATAAAGTAACACACGTAAAGTGTATATCTTTTTTCGCAAATAAACATTGACATATCTATGGGACCCTTTCACTAGTATCAAGATATTATGTATTTATTAAGACTATGGATATGTATGTTGAATTTATTTCACACCGTACATAGCCAAACGTGCTAATCGTAGATGTGATGAAAGTATGCAATATGTATGTGTTATGATAATAGTTAGTCATTGGTATGTATTGACCTCATCTGCGCAGAGAATCCTTCATTTTGGAGATGATCATACAACTCAGGATGTTCCCTTTCCAACCACATCATTTGTGTGTATTACATCAGGCAGACATTATGCTTCGTTAGATATGCCATCAGAGTATTATGACTCTTATCGTCACAAGATGAAGAAGTCAGTGACCTTCCCTGGATGCTTGAATAAGCCCAATAATTACATCAGCCATATCAATGTTATTCATCCAGAAGGTTGATAGAACAAATTCCCATTTTCACACCTCAAGAGATGTTCAGGTACATATTGAACAGCTGGGATATCTTAAAAAATGGATGGATGGCCGATGGGGCAGCTCAACTACAGAGGCTTCTCCAGCAGCCTTCACCATACCTGTTAGCAATGTGTAAACATATATTTGTATATATTTAACTTTTCGCTTGACTGTAGCCAATGAGATTGGATTGCAGGGGCCCATATTATAGCAAGTGTTATAAAACGTATACGTACATATTTTCATCATGTACCGTACATATAATTTAAAACCCGTCAAACCTTTAATTAAACGTTGTTTGATATACATCTAAAAAGCAGGAGGCAGTTGCCATGGTAACACAGATTTAACCACAAAACGACATATTTTCCCAAGTTCCATAAAGTACAGGGTCTGAGCTTTCAAAAATGTATGAAGGAATTTGCTCATCCAAATGGTACCAAGGGATCAGTTTTAGTGATCTGGCTCGTGGTATATCATGATATAATGTAATGTAGAGGCCAAAACAGAAGGAAACTATGCTCCTACAGAATAACAATAAGCTCCCCGGTTTACCGAACTGTGTGATAAATGTAAGTGGTGTATCTTCAGCCAGGATATGAAGCTAAATACAGCAGTATAATTTAAAATAGGGCAGAATTTAGATATAATTTTTTTCCTGTTTATTTGCTCAAAGGAGTTACAGCTTGTCTCATTTATACACCAACACGTAGATGGCAGGTGGTCCCTGTACCAGATCCTTTGCATTTTTTAAGTTAAGACACAGGTATGAGGAATATCTGAACATTTAATTATTATAATACATTGGCCAAATGTAATGAATGTGGCCACTGTTTTAAACAAAGGAAGATGTGAAACACATGACCTATATAATACACTGCTGATATCTATATTTGTATGTACATATCATTGTCTGGAGAACTCCTTCTTGACTGTTCCACCAATTGCAATTAATAAGGTGTCATTTGGAAGCTCATGATATGCAATTTATATGAACGAGGTCAAAATTATGAAATACAAAAAATCACCCCAATAATTTGGCTTATCGGCCCATATGAAACAATATTTTGGCACATGGCATAATATATGCAGCTCCATTTTAAAAACATAGTAACAACAGGCGCGTGCCATTAGGGAGGGTGTTTGGTGGCGGCAGTGGAGGAGGATGGTTAGGTAGTTTTTGAATCTTAACAGGCTTCCGACCATATTGTATGAACTGGTGAGTGGTAAGGGTCAGGTGAGTTGATGAGTGGTGGATGTCTGACAATAGTCATGTGAGTGCGATGTCACCCTGTCCATAGGATGGGCTGCCCAGGTATATACTCGATAAGCACTGCTAAATTGAGCAGCTAATGCCCTCAACGAGCACTGGTCTACATTGGCTGTTGTTGGGTATAGCTGTGTGGGACAGAAAATTAACTGTGTTGATTCTCACAAAAAATATACTCGTATGATATTTTCTCAATCCACAGAGCCACTTTCCAGATATTCTGAAATAATCATGTAAAAATACATTTTTCAGAACACAATGATTAATACTCATAATGTTTAGGGCATTGTAAAATAGTGTTGTGTCGTACATGATGCTGTGTTCACTTAGCATGTAAAAGGAATCGGTGAAACATAGAGCATGCCCAGTTACGGCCTGTGTCCTCTGCTCTCTGTGCCCCCTGCTCCCTGTGCAGCGCTCACGGAATTGAGGTCGTCGAGGCGCGTGCCAACTCCAGCCACCATCTGACTGCGCTCCTGGGGAGACTCCGGGCACGGGTACAGGGTCGCGCGGAACCTAGTCGTGGGTTGCAGGAGATATGAAATACCGCGATACATTATATTAATTCAGCAACCGACACTAACCATGATTGGTTACATTTAAAGATATGTTTAATTGATATTTTGCGATGATGTTGGATGAGTGATGCCTTATGGTAACAACCGTTCTAGAGATGTTAAATGCCATAACGAAAATGTTCCAATGCAGACATATTTTTTTATAAAATAAGAATTGACACTGACCCATCGTTTAAAGCAAAGCATTTAAAGATTGTCATGACAATTATTAAGCTTATCATTCAAATTATCTGAACAAAGCAGTCACGAAAACCAGCTCACCCTTCACAGATTTTGATGGCACGGCCCTTCAGCTGCTCCCCTTGGTAAAATAGGATGAAGACAGATTTCTGCATTTTGTCCCCCTGCACCACACAGTGTCCGTGTCAGCAATAGAAACACGTAATGCCATGTACCATCGTAAAGTTAAAAAGCCCCCGATATTTCCACCCAGCCAACAAAAGGGCTAGAGGATCCGTACCACCACAATCGGCCAATGAGCATACCACAGTTGAGCATTTACAAATGACGCAGGTATGTCACAATAGCATCATGCTCTCACATGGGGCAAAGTTAAGACAAACGTTTAGTAAAATGCAACACAACTTGAAGCGCCAAGTTATGAATGGGATGGAGGGGGGGGGGGAATACGACAATTAGCCAAAATAAAATGTGTTTCATTAAAATAAACCTTTATCACCAATGTTCCTGCAAGCATTCATGCTAACTCTAGTCTCGCTTTATGCATCCATCACAGTACGTCTGATACAAACAAACATGCAAAGGAAAAAATGTGTAACTCAACATTGTACAGAGCATTACAGATGCCTGCATGCACCATTAGCTTCTAAAGCCCTCGAAGGAATCACTGATGAAGTCCCCATCCAGCAATGGATAACTCCCCCAACTGCCAGGCACACCACAGTTAAATCACTGGAAGATTTGTGATGCTGTATAACAATGGCATTGATGGGCCATTTCCTCGTAAGTATTCTTGTGAATAATGTGTCTTGGTGAGTATCAGTGTCTAATGATGTTAATGATACATTTTCCACTACTCTCCTACACTCCACAAATGTTTATGAAAGAATGTTTTACAAAATTAAATATCGGTATCAGAAATGCTTAGACTGTATATTAATGCTTGCCTGCAAGCCACTCTAGAGGACTTTAGGATTACAGGGGCACGTTGCAAAAACAGTGTTTTGCTGAGAAGCAATACTGTTATGCCCTTTCATAAAGCTAACATTGAGCATATTACAATTAATCGATTGAAAAACAATTTTAAACATTTAGATTTATTATCATTAAGCTTACTTAACGAGGAAAGCCTCACTGATTCTCTAGAATATTCTATACATCACAACCAATCTTGATTTGAAGCTTTCGTGACTGCAGGAATCCATACTCTTTGGTTCTTTTGGTAAAGTCACGCAGGTATAAAATAAAATAAATCACGACGTTTCGATTGCAACACAAGCAATCATCATCAGGTGGGAAAACCACAGCATGGATAAAACCACATACAACAACAAATTCCAGGACCTTCTTAATGATGGCAGTTACACCAAAATCAACAAAGATCCTACTAACCACCTGGCTACAAAAAAACAACAATAGTTCGCCTTCTCTAATCAAACCATTCAAACGGCTCTCCCTAAGACCTTCTGCTACTAGACCACCCAGATTCTATGGTCTTCCTAAAATCCATAAAGAAGGTATTCCACTTCGGCCCATCGTTTCCACTATTAACTCACCTACCTACAAACTGGCCCGTTTTCTGTCTGACACCTTGCTTCCATTCACGGGCAAGACTACCTCAGCAGTACGTAACTCAGCTCACTTGGTCTCTCTAATCAAGGGCATTTCACATGTCCCCAGATGATTTGCTTGTCAGCTTTGATGTAGTTTCTATGTTCACCAAGGTTCCTGTATCTGACACCTTAGCAATAATTGAAGACGTAGTCCGCATGGACTAAATACTGATGTACCTACTCTGGTTAGGCACTGCCTTACCAACACTCACTTCACCTGGAATGGTACTTTCTACAAACAAAATGAAGATACCCCCATGGATGCCTCCTTATCACCAGTGATAGCGACTGTTTTCATTGAGAAATTTGAAACAGATGCTATCCAGACATCCACCCTACGTCCTTCCTTGTGGAAGAGATATGTCGATGACACTTTCGTCATTTGGCCACATGGCCTGCCAGCTTTGAACCAATTTTTCAACCACATCTATTCCATACACCCATCCATCAAATTCACCATGGAAGTGGAGAAGGATGGTAATAGCAGTGGCAGCTAGGGGTGTACAACTCCTCTAGAGCAGTTTTGAGTGAAGATCTCACAGGTAGTGATCCAAGTTGCAGTTTATTGGCGATAGCATTCCAGACCCTGGGGGCATCAATAGAAAAGGCCCTTTCTCCAGCATTTGTACGGCAATAAGGAATGTGAAGCTGGTAAATGAGTGAAGACCTTAGGTCACATTTGTTCTTCGAAATTGTGAGGAGATCCAGCAGGTAGTCTGCAGATTTTTTTGTAAGTACATCGTGAATAAATAAGATTTGATGCACAAGCCGTCGATCATTAAGTGAAGTTAAGTTTGACCCAATGTAGAGATCGCAGTGGTGGGTCATATGTGGGCAGTTCAATGCAAATCTCAAGGCCGAGTGATAAACTGTGTGACTAATCTGACATTGCATATAAGAAATAAATCACTTTGGTCGATGGTACAACGTTGCAATCTTACTAAAAAGGACTGGTTTTCATGAAAACAAGGTGTTTTATACAATTGCGTTATATTTCAGTGATCGCAATAGCAAGAACAAAAATAAAACTATCCATTTCCAAGTATACGTGCAATTAAAATAAATATCGAATGAAACAACAATAAGCTGATATTCAAAAATGTACAACGTCCATTAGTGATTTGCTAATTAGTAGTTCAATCTTATATTTCAGGCAAGGTTGCCTTTGGAAGAACACACATAGATCAATACCGTCACTGCCTACAGGCATAGCCATTAACTGCACAAGTGCATTAAACACATTCATGAGGTCAGCAACGGTATTCTTAAAGCAGCTACTGGAACAAATTATTCCCTTTGAAATGGAGTTGTGGGTCAAGAAGTTGTTTTGCTGAGCTAGGAAAGAATGTACCTAGAGTGGAATGATGAGGCGATCGTGGTCGGGTATCAAGACGAATGGGAGGTGCACAACAGGACATCTGTTTCCCTGCGCATGTGGAGGAGGCTGCGGTGGCTGGGCATGGGGGTGGAGTGAGGGGGGAGATGCTGGGAGAGGGTTTAGGTAAACTCCTTACAGTGATGGGGTCTTCCAGTTGCTCGTCAATATCGGTGTAACGCAGGAACACGTTCCCGCGACAAACCCGCCACAGCATTCTCTCAAACATCGGGATCTTCTCCCGCCCGATCACGCCAGTGAGGAACCTGCACAGGAGTCACGGTTGTACTGTGAATTCTCAGGAACGAAAATAATGTGAGGCCATTGTTATAGGGTTGTGTTTGCTACATTATGTCAATACAATACAATTTCAAGTTCGAGGACAATGTGTGTCTCGTGAAGATTCTCAGAATGGTTTTTCGTGGATATTTTGAATTAAATTATTGAGTGTCATGGAAAAGGTGAGGTCAGAATAACAGAGATCTCCCTCAAGCGCAATGTTTTTTTTTGCAATTGATCACGATAAGTGAGTTCTTTCAAAGTGAACACAGTTTTCCTCCACCCTAAAGGAGTTTTGAGTGCAACGGATTTATTACGGCTCTTTGGTGCAGGGCTGAGGCTGTTGGTTAGTTTGACAAAACATCTTTGGGAGAAAAAACTATCACCGTGTGTTTAAAAACACGACTGTACTTGTGATGCTCTATCAAACAGGAATGTGGAACGCGAACATGATACACACACAAAAATATGCATGCAAGCACAGACGCCCACAAACATTCACACTTTTTTTCCAGAAGCACGGCACATGCATGGTGTGCTAATATTCTTAGGCAGTGGAAATATATTTTCAGAATGATTATAAATATAGCCCTTTGTCAATACAGTGTTCAATGGAGATGTCCTCGTGCTGTATCAGTTATATTGTTTGACTATACTTAACCACGGTCAGTGTGGGTTGGTCAAGAAGAGAGGTCCAAAACCATGTGAGGTATCATTCACCGATGATGTTAGCTATTCTCAGGAATCAAACCCAAGTAGCCAAGTTCAGTGGGCAAACTGCTGTACCACTATTTCAACCATGCCTTCATATGTATACTACTGATAAGATTAAATCTGAGATTAATGTTTGAAATGTTAGGACTGTAAAAAATAAGGAACTGTTAGATAGGGCTTGATATTGATTCCGTCACATAAACTAAGCTGCCTAAGTCAAGTGGGAAGAGTGGTTACCATGGCTACATCATTTTTCAGATTTTTGGGGCATGTTCCAGTTATTTTCCAGCTGTATGACATCACTCACACGGGCCCAGAACCTATATGTCAGATAAGCCCCACTGGCAGTGATGACACACACAAGCTAGCATTTAATCGCCAGCAAATTCCTCGTGACAGTGAGGTCATCAAGGAAGATGGAAAGTTTCTTAACATCGAGGTGCCTAAGATTAAGTCTGTGACAAAAGAATGAGAAATTGACATGACAGAAGATTAATCTTTAATATTGACCCTGTTGGTTACTGCAAGCATAATTGGAGATTGTGTCAAATGTTATTTTTAAACCATTTAAAATGGAGTTATGGCACGTCGAATCAAGCTAACAAGAAAATAATTTATTTTCGCAGTTTCAAAAAGACTCTATTTATATTCTGACAGTGCAGAGTTTTAGATTTTAAATGTATAAATGAACTCCAATAAAAAAAAACTATACAAATTTCCATTTTGTTAATCTTTGTTAATCTTCATTTATTTTATCAATGTCATTCATACACTGTTGGTGCTATTTATTCGTGTTATCCTTGCTCTTAATTTTGCATACATTTTTTTTAGTAATTAAGTGCAATAAAATTTTAACTAACTTTCTTCTTAAACGATTTGCTAACTACCGTAAACACAGGATTTTTTTTTTCCTTTAAAGGAACATAACTTTTACAGTTAACATTTCAATCAATCGGCATTCCTCATACTGATTACCATTAACAGTTTCAGCAATGCCTGGTTGGTGGTTCATTAATTACATCAATATATTCGTGTATTTATTCATATAGATATATTATGGATCATTCATATTAATAATTCATTCATATTTTGTATGATTCGTTTTAACAGTTGATTTGTGCGTCAGTGTTCAATAGAAGATGCAAAGCATTCCCATAGAGCATCAAGAAAATATAAATCTTTGGACACATTTTGCAGGGTGAACCACTGCAAACAACCATGGGTCTCTGCAAAAATGTTACAGTACACATTACCATATTTGAAGCTTTCGTGACTGCAAGGATTCATATTCTTAGGTTTTTTTCGGTAAAGTCACGTAGGTAAAAAATTGAAATTAAAATTAATAAAAGTAAAATAAAATAAAAATAAAAAATCACGACGTTTCGGAAGCTTGTGTTGCCTCCGAAACGTCGTGATTTTTTATTTTTATTTTATTTTACTTTTATTAATTTTAATATCAATTTTTTACCTACGTGACTTTACCGAAAAAAAACCTAAGAATACACATTACCAGTTTACTTGAGGACACTAAAATGAAGGTGGCCAATGCTCAAAGGAAAACTTCGCAACATGTGCAAAGCCACATCAGCATCAGTGGTCTGAAGGGCGAATACAACTCCCACAAGAGCAGCGTTGATTTACGTGCAGTGCGAGCTCGGCTCCCCTGGAGCTAACCGCCAGCAGGTGCAGGGCCCGCATGATGAACGCTCATGGGACTTCGCTGCGGTGTGTATGCGCAGCCAGAGTAAAGCCAACTCCACGCGGCATTTTAAATCAGGAGTCGCGAAGGATAAATGCAAGATGGACCCAATTATATGCAACTTGGTCATCAAAATACGGTCAATATTATAATGTAATGTTGTGTGAATTTAGTATCGATATACGGTACACGGCACTATATGCTTTGTATTGTTTTCCTACAAAGGGGAGGGACATGTCTTTGATCACCTCTATTTGAGCAATGCGTGTGTACTGTATATGGTGTATGTTGTGCCAGTACCGTGTTCTGGAGGAGTGCTCTGGGTTGGAATGGTTTGTAAAACTGAGTTACAATCTTGACAACCCAAGCTGAATTCCAGACTGCCTACGCGTGTGATTGGCATTCCTTATCCGAACTTAGCCTGGATCTCCCCTGGGTCAGATCAGCTTAAAAATAGTACTTGGAAGGGTTTTGGAAAAAGTATTGGGAGACCGAAGACAAGCAGGCATGGTTCTTGCCATACCACCCTCTCTCACATATTGACGGGATCTTGTGAACGGCACCTGCCTCCTATGGTTTATATCCTAATACTAAATTAGTAGTTTTGGTCCGTGTGTGTGTGATTGGTTGATGGTGCTTTTAATTGAGCAGTTTATGAAGGCATCGACAGCTTAAGAGAATGTGATGAATGATGGTGGGGATGGCCTATCCATGGCATAGCTGAGGAACAGAATAATATATATGCAATTATATTATTCAAGGCATCTTTGCATCTAGCTGTGCACACATATAAATGGCTCTTTATGAATGGAAATCAAGTGACATGTGGTTGCTGTTAATAAGGGGGTTGCAAGGTTTCACTGTGTATGAATGTGCTTAATGCTACTGTATTAACACTAATTTTGATTTGATTTGAGAGAAGTCAGTGTTTTGGTTGACAGAAATCCCTCTGCAGGTGATCTGTATTCAATGGTAATTGTTGCACGTTTATAACAAAGACAAAATCCCCCGTATAGCCTTTTAATAGCCCATTGGGGCAAGTGCTGTTAGCGAGTACCTATGAAGGCCAGCATGGCACACGAGGGGGTGGGTGGCCAGCACCACGCCCGGCCGCCCTCGTCTCCCCAGTGGCGATGTTTACATATTGATACTCATTTGATGTTGAGTTGACCTAAAGGATACCCAGAACCGGTTCAGATAATCGTCACAAGTATTGGCTATAAGCAGGATTCGAACTCCCCACACGTGTGTATGCACATTCGTGTTAAATTTAAACATTAATTATGGCACATCATTCAAAGCATTCCCTGAAATAGAATGTTTATAGTTAATTATATGAAGATATTAAAATTAAACTTTTAAAAGGTATTTAACAGATCACAACTGAAGCAAAAAGAATTACATGAAACATGGAGCCAATGTGCATTCACTACCTAATTAAAAAAAGTGAATGCAGCACGATGTCCTTAATTAGCACTGTAAAATGCACTGCTACAGTAATCCTAAACCTGTCATGCTTTACATGAGCATGACAAGCGGCTGCTTTAACACTTCCTATTTTGACTTACAGCCAAGTAGTTAAGGAGAGAAAAAAAACGAAATAATTTTTTTAAGCAATATATTGGCCACTTAAAGCGATGTATTCCGTAGAAACTAGGAGTAGGAAAGGGAGGGATGTAAATTGTGCGTATTAAAGATGCACTTGAATTGTTCATTATGTTGGTGCTCAGCCTAGTGCACAGTAGCTCTCGTTTCATCATAAAATATTATTCCCAAGAATACAACTGTAAATCCTTCAAAAGTGCATAAAAAAAGATTAATTCCCCAGATTATAATGTAGTTCAAGATTTCGAAGCTACTCTTGTCTTTTTAATATTTGTATAAACCCCATTATGGGAGAAAGCGAGGCATCTAAAACTTGTTACCAAGACCCAACCGTAACAAAAACACTGGCAGGCTTTAAAAAACTTTTTTACCTATACAACAATGTAAATATGTCTATGTGTTCTTTGGTAAAAGGCTGCTAATTATATAGTGTACTTCAGGTTATTCTTCACATTTCATGCGTGAAATAATTTAATAGCACAACCCTTTAGGGTATGTTTACGAAATCGGAACCATATCTTGACCTAAAGCTTTCGTGACTGCAGGAATTCATATTCTTGGGTCTTTCGGTAAATAAGATAACAAAAAAACTATGACGTTTCGATCGCAACACAAGCGTGTGTTGCGACACAAGCGTGTGTTGCGATTGAAACGTCGCAGTTTTTTTGTTATTTTCTTTGAACAATCTACGTGACTTTACCGAAAGACCCAAAGAATAGGAACCATATGTTATACAAAAATGTGTGCACATCACTATACTTTGAACTAAACATACAGCACACAATTGTGTTTTAAAATTATATGCGTCCATATCCTATTGAAAAATAAATCTATACAATAAAAAAATACCACCAATGCGTGAATGGTAGTTAATTTTATAAAGTCTATTCATCTAAATTCAAATTTCACGGCACATTTTGCAAGGGAAATAAGTGATAGGCTTTTCCATAATTCATCGATTCTCCATTTCAAATGGAATCCAATGTGGCATATTCAGCATGATTTGCTGTTATATCCACAGGAGCCACAGAAAGGAGAATTAGAGATTGCTCGTATAAGTTAAAGCACTGGAATGTTGACTGCACTGAAAGGGCATTGTGGGAACTGTTTTGAAGCTCTAGCAATACTCGTCAAACACACGCTCTCGTCATCCACCAGGCCTGAATAGCGCTAGCCACACAATGTAAGGATGGCACCAACTATTATGCAACGAATGTGCATCCGTTCTGGCGCTGTCGTGTGTTGATGTGCATGGCATGGGTGCGTTACCCCAGCTCTCTGTTGCCCAGAGCTACGTCCATTGGCTCGAAACTTTGCATGTTCTCGTACTTGTGCTCCACCTCCGGCCTCTGTTGGGATTGCACAAACGTTACTCGACAACATTGCAGAGCTGTACTTACACCACAGACACATGAGCAAGTGTAGAATGCACATAATTTACCAAGCTGTCTCTCCCACACTCTATAAGACGAAGACAAAGATCCCCCATATAGCCTTAACACACCGTTGGGGCAAATGCTGTTAGCGAGCACCTCTGAAGGCCGTCACGACACACGAGGGGGTGGGTGGCCAACACCACGCCCGGCCGCCTTTGTCTCCCTGGTGGCGATGTTTACACATCGCACCAGGTACTCATTTGAGGCTGAGTCAACTTAGAGGAGGCCCAGGACCGGTTCAGATAATCGTCACTGGTGTCGATTCTGGTCACACACATTCACACACAGAGGAACAACGATCCCACGTATAGTGTATAGACTGTTGGGACAAGTGCTGTTATGTGGTGTAAATTTAAACGGTGACGTGGCATACAATGAGGTGGTGTGGCCAACACTGATCCCAGCCACATATGTCTCCCTCCCCGTTGATAATAATGTTTACACAATACATCAGGTACTCATGTAAGGCTGAGTCGACCTAGGGTAGACACAGAAACAGTACAGAAACCGCTGGTGTCAGCTGAAATCAGGAATCAAATTCAGGTCAATGGGTTCATAGTACAGAATGTTAACCAATGCGCTAGTGCTCCCTACACATATATATGCACGCACACACAGAGACGAAGCCAGGATTTTCAGGTAGGGGGGGCAACCCTTCCAGCAATGAAACATGATAGGAGTTATTAGTAAGTAAGGACTTGTCCCTTGCTTTTTATTCGACGCGTGTGCGGCGATGGCGCATGGCCTGGAAGTATGAGATGATTTGTTCGTCACCGTCGCAGCAGTCTCCTTCTCGACATACAGCAGCATGACGTCATTGAGGTAGTGGGAGCCCATTGCGTCTTGATGATTTTCAGGACGCTGTAGACGCGCTCGGCAGTGGCTGTCGCCACCGACAATACCAGTATCAGCCGCAGCAATCGGCATACAAGGTGGTAGCCGGCCGTGGCCCGGCCAGTCTGCACCAGCATGACTGGAAGTTCAGGGAGCGTACCCACATTCTTCAATAACTCGTCCTTCTCTAATCTCCCTGCCGAAGTGGACCAGCTGCTGATCGAGAAACATTAGGTCGACGTCAGGAAAGTCGATCATGTAGAACTTGTGGGCCAACTCCACGAGCTTGTCGACATTGCTTGTGTGGAGAGATAGATGCTGCTAGGCGGAGCATCTCCATCGACTCGGTGTTGAATTTGTAATCGAACTCGGCCAGCATCTTGTCGATTGCTGCGTAGAACAGGTCGTACGGAAAATCTGATCATTGGTGTTCATGTACCCATCGCGACGAGGCCGGCCAGGTTGGATGAAGTTGGCGGTCATATAGGGCACCTCAATCTTGTGGGTCTCACAGAACTGCTGCACCTTGTGGAGCAGGTCGTCATAGCCGGTAACGTGCATCTCTGTCAGTACTTCGACGACGCCATCGACCAACCGCAACGCATTGACGATGTCCTGGTCCTTCGTTTGCAGCGCCTGTGACAGGTCATGCGTGATAAGCAGCATCTTGTCCATTACGTGCAAGATGAACGCAAACTTGAACGTGCACATGCCGTCGAGCAGGCACGTCGCTTCTACCCGCTGCTCCGACTTGCTGCCGTCCGTCTCCACATGCTGGATGACTTGCATTGTCGCACCGAACATGTCGATCAAGCGACGCAGCGCGCGCCAGAACGACGACTAGCGCGTGTCGCCTGGGCGCACCAACACTATCTCCTGGTTCAGACCACGGCCCGTCTCGACCAGCAGCTCGTTGATCATCTCCAGCACGATCTTCTTCTGCGTGTTGATGAAATCGTCGTTGCACTTGCAGGAGCTCGTCACCACATTGATAATGTCATTGTCCAATGTGAAGAACAGGTCGATGTCGGGGACGCCATCTTTGCAAGCAGCAACCAGCACGAGTTGGAGCTTGTGTGCCCAGCAGTGCCCGTAATAGGCCAAATCGTTCAGCTGCTTGATCAGGGCTTGCAGGCCGTTGATCTCACCGCTCATATTGGACGGGCCATCGTAGGCCTGCCCGCAGTAGTTGGCGATCAGGCGACCGCGATTGGTCTGCATGTCGACAATGGAATCGCGGAGCGTGGGGGCGCACGTGTCGGTCACTTGCTTCAGGTCGACGAGACGCTCGCGCAGCACGCCAATCTTGATCTCAACGAAGCAGTTAACGACGGCCAGTTGCTTCTTCTTGCTCGCATCATGCGTCTCGTCCGCCATGATGCAGTAGAAGGTGTCGGCTTGGACGATCTGGGTGGGCGTGGGCTTGGATGATGTCCTTCTGGATGTCGGGACTAGTCATGATGGCGTTCTGCAGGGCATTGTCGAGCGCAACGCGGGCCAGCTCGACGTTGCGTTTGCACAGGAACTGAAGCAGCTCGAGGAAGTTGCCATGGTTGAGTGACTCGTCCGACTCATTGTGGCCCTGGCAGGCCAGCCCCTGCTTCATGAGGAATCAAATTGCATCAACTGATCCCTCCAACCGAGTACGATTGTCGGCGATCGTCTGGGCCGTCTGCTTCTCCAGGCCGTGCTTACCAGTGATGATGTGCATCTCTGTGTTCATCATGTCTCTGGCCTTCTATTCCTGGCCAAGAACCCGTCTGAGACGAATGCGTCCGAGCGATTGTGGGATGGGAAGAGGAAGCACGGGAAGCAGTAGACCGACTCAGTGTGGAGTGAGTATTTGAGCCAATCGTACGTCTCGTACCACGATGGCTGCGGGCGGCGCTTTTTTCGCCCCATCATCTTTGACAGGTACAAGCTGCCATCTGATGAACAGGGGCGTGGAACGAACCGGCCTTGTATCAGGTATGAACGACGGATCTCGTTGACACTGTTCAGATCGTACATCAAAATGGCAGATTTTGTCCCGGGATCCTGATCGACGATGTGCACCTCTGCGGGCAATGGCGCTGGAGGCGGGGAGTTAGCTAGCGTTTCTGCTTCCGATTCATCAGCTGCCGCCGTTGAAGATGAAGGGTCAGGAGATCGCGAACGGTGATGCTGAGCTGGAGGACGCTCTGGCAAACGACTCTCAGAGCGCTTCTGCAGCCATCGATCGAGGGTCGGCATCGCGCTCGCTGAAGGTGTTTGCCTTCAGGGAAGTCGTGTACTGTATACGCAACTGCGCACAATTCTGTGAGTCACTTATAACTGCTTTGCCATTACTTATTGCCAATTATGGACTCAGACTATTGTCCTATCATCTCATAGAGTCCCTGGCACGTAATACTATGCTACACAGTGGCAGTGGGGGTCGCAAAATGCCAATTTATTACTAATAAACCCTAATGATCTAATCGAAATTAGGGATTTCGATAGGATCATTGGGGGGGCACGTTCCCCCCCCCCCTACTGGCTCCACCACTGCACACACACATGTTGGCTCACATGTGAACACATTTAAATTCATATTTGGCTTCAGAAACTGTTGGGGCAAGTGCTGTTAGTGAGCACATACTATAAGGCAGTGGTGGAGGAGGCATCATGCATCATCACTTTTGTTCCCCATTGTCGTGGAAGCTTCAGTATTTACGCACTAAATATATGTCAGTCCATATCGTTGCTATTTTCAGTTTGAGCCAACCAAGGTACGGGTAAGACCAGATTCAAAATTATCATTAATAATGCTGATTCTATGCCTCGGAAAGCTTCCCTGTGTCTCAATACTTTTTTGCAGGAGGATTCTTAAATGAGAATTTTTTCCCATTCATATTAACGAGTGTTTGGCATGTTGAGGAATCTGGATCACCGGTAGAAAATCCACGTAGAAAATTCACACAAACACATGTATTGAGAGGGACACTGAATGTGACCATCCCTAGCTGGCTACCTTGCAGCCCCAGCCCACAGCACTCGGTAATCCCAGGAAGTCTCCCATCCAAGAACTAACCAGGCTCAACCCCAAATAGCTTCTGAGATCTGACAAAACCAGCTTGCATTCGCAATTATTTTCTAGTGGGCAAGTGATCTGTAATACCATAGTTTAATGTGGTGCTAATTTTTTTTCATGAGGTCTTCATTGATGTATTTCTATACATGTTTGTTTTGTTACCATTCACTTTATTCGACATATTGTATCTGTTGAATTATTCGTATTGCCGTATTATAATGCGACTTCATCATTTAAAATTGTGTAAACTCATGGCAACAGTCAACCCAGAGAAAACTTACACTGAGCAATTACGGATGGCTCTTTCAATGTCAGTCTGACTCACTGAAGTTGGCCAATCAGTTACACGGTAATGGATATCAATAACAGCTCTCCAACTCAGCATGGATGGCACTGAGCCCACGTAACATGGACATGTAAATTATGAAATCTTCCAAATCAATGCAATGTACTATCCCTACTCAAACAAATGAAATTGGCTGATTACACTAATGGCATCTAATCTCCAGATGCGTTTGTGATAGTGAAAGTATTATTTGTGTTTAAATTAACTGCTCCCCCCCTTTTACATTACTGAGAAATGGAAGCAACATTTTCTTGCCAAAAATACAATGGGACTGCCCCGCTGGCAGACATCACAGGATTTTCCATAACAGCATTGACAAAAACAGAGAGACCATTTCCAGAAATAATGTAATTCTGAACAATGGACCATATCCTATTGTGTTTTGCTTCCGAGAAGTGCACTATTCATATTCACATGAATGCAATTTTTTATTTTAAAGTATAAAATTAAATGTTAATTAAATGTTTGTTGTCATTTTTAAATTATTTTTTATGTGGTAACAAGGCATGTCTAATGATAACCTGCTCATCTTAATTAAAACAGCTTCATCTGCATTATTTTAGCTGTTGGTATGCAGTCAACTATTTCAATTTCAGGCAACGTTCTAAACAGTACATTCTTTATATTTAATTTTAAAGACTCAAAGTGGAAGATGATTTTTCTAGCAATTTAAATATAATG